GATTCGAATGACCAAATATGCACAAACTGTGGCTGCCCAGTCCTTATATTGACTTGGGCTGAGCTTCAACTCGTCCCAGCCTCTGCTTCTCGTGGCCTTGACTTGGTACTGGTACCACATAATGCCCTCGGCCCGGCCTGCTTGCTTCAGGATGTCAAGGCCTGGCTGGTACTTTCCCGAATTAAAAAAATTTTCATTGGTGTGCTGCTGCTTGGGCCTGTGAGCCCCGACTTTTCATCTGTGGAACCGATAACTTTCTTTGACTGTGGGTTTGTGACTCTTGCCTCTCGGACACGTCCACTTTTGCCTGCGGAAGTGTTGTCCTTTGCCTGTGGAAATTCCATATCGCTTTTTGTTTTACGAATCCGTCGGCGGTCGGGTGAGACTTTTGTTTTTTTTTTTACCATATCACTTTTCAATATGACTCTTTAATATGATGAGACGTGACTTTGGCTTATAAAACGGACCGCTTCCGGCGATCAAGCTGTGCCTACCGTCTTCCCCCGAACACAACGCACCCTTATTTTGGCGGTATCTGGCCGCAAAATATAGCTTGTATACATTCATTCTTAGAGTGCGTTATGTTCGGGGGAAGACGGTAGTAACTGGCCTCTCCAACACCCTGGACCTTTTCATAAAGAAAGAAAGAAAGAAAGAAAGAAAGAAAGAAAGAAAGAAAGAAAGAAAAGAAAAGAAAACGCAACTCTTGCCTCTGGGATGTGACTGTTTACCGGGGACCTTGTCCCACTACAGTCTTCCCCCGAATACAACGTACGGTCATTATAGCTGAATTTAGTCTGAAAGACGGCCCATATACAGGTAGCTCCGTTGAGCCAGGTCCACGTTTGGTTTTCGACGCCGTGTGTGTGACTGTACGCGACACCGGAGATGCCCTGTCCGTCGTCCAAGTCGTCCAAGCCATCTAGCGGTCCGTTTTTAATTGAAAAAAGGCAATAGAGACTATCTTTGCATTTTCTTACAAAAAATAGCAGAAGTCAATCCTTTCTCTCGAATAGTACTCCCCCTACCCTCGCCACTTTCCGTTGTCGCTGTCTCCTTATTGCGGGACAGCTACAGTCTTCCGCCGAATACAACGTACGGTCATTATAGCTGAATTTGGCGTACGGTCATTATAGCTGAATTTGGTGTATCTTTCAGTCTAAATTCAGCTAGAATGACCGTACGTTGTATTTGGGGGAAGACTGTAGCTCAACGCCCCTCTTGTAATGTACGAGCCTCCTTCCGTTTGCCATTTTTTTTATTTTATTTTTTTTGTACAAAAGGGATTCCAAACGGCAACTCACTTTTCAGTTTCTGCTGCGGAATGGAAGTGCCCGTATGCCACTCCAATTGTGAAAAAAGAAAAACCAGAACAGAACAACTGTATTCGTGCCATTTATAAATGCATTTCTCATTTGAAATTGAATTAGAATGATTTTTTTTAGCTGTCGCACCGTTGAGCTGCCTCAACTAAACGGTGCAAGTGGGACAAGGGACCTTGTCCCACTTGCACCGTTTAGTTGAGGCAGCTCAACGGTGCGACAGCTAAAAAAAAATATTCTAACTCAATTTCAAATGAGAAATGCATTTATAAATGGCACGAATACAATTGTTCTCGTTTTTCATTTTTCACAATTGGAGTGGCATACGGGCACTTCCACAGCAGAAAATGAAGAGGTGCCCGAATCCCGTCCAAAAATGGCAAACCGAAGGAGGCTCGTACAGTTTCTCTTGAAAAACGCCTGTTGGGGGAACAAGAGGGTCGTTGAACTAGCTGTCTCGAAAAAAGGAGACAGCTAGTTCAACGGAAAGTGGCGAGGGTAGGGGTAATAGTATTCGAGAGAAAGGATTTATTTCTGTTTTTTGTTGTAAGAAAAAGCGAAGATGGTCTCTATTGCCCTTTTTATTAAAACGGACCGTTAGATGAATTGGACGACGTGCATCTCCCTTGTCGCGTACAGTCACACAGGCTCGAAAACCCCACGTTGACCTAGCTCAACGGAGCTAGTGGGACAAGGTTCCTGCAACACCCTGGACCTTTTCAAAAATAAATAAAGAAAGAAAGAAAGAAAGCAAGAAAGAAAAGAAAATAACGCAACTCTTGCCTCTGGGATGTGACTGTTTACCGGGGGTGGCTGTTGGACTTGATGTGACTTTTCTGAAAGCGGCTTTTGCATTTGAGTCTCAGGACGGGACCCTTCAGCTGGTTGGAGCCAGACTTTGCCTTTGGGATATTTGACGGCAACTGGGCCTCTACCCATTTGGAAAAACTTAGACCCTGAAATTCGAATTTGGGGTCTGAATCGTGAAAGGCCCTTTCATTATGGTGAAAATGGTTGTCACAGCTTGCCAGAACAGTGTTAATCGAGGAAGCCACTGTTGCTTTTGGGGTTCCATCAACCCAAAAARAAAAAAAACATGCACGAAAAAAAAAAAAAAAAAAAAAAACCCTGGATGCTGCTACTCATCTTTTCCCTTTAATTACACAGGGGACTCGCTCCGACTCGGGTGCAAGGCTGGAGGCCAGCCATATTGCCCCTGAATGTGCCGTTCATTACTGTACTGCATTCTTTTCTTTTCTGCCTTGGGCACTGAGACCGTAATAAGAAAGATAATGATTCTTTATAATTAAAAAAAAAAACGTGGATGCTCCACTTTTCCCGCTGACTACCACCTTCCCTCAAATATAAGGCATGGTGTTATGGCTGCATTTAGCGTTATTTTCAGGCCAGATACAGGTACAATGGCCATTGGCCATCACTCGTCGCGAGAGACACAATCAAAGCACAGCCACCATTCAGATTGTAAACTTTTGCAACGAGTGTGTTCTCGAGCAAACGGATTTCAAGGAAAAAAAAAACAAAAAACAAAAAAAAGCTGACAGATCATTCTTATTGGAACCAGAACTCCAATAATAATGTGCTCTTGTTTTTTTTGGTTTTTTTTTTTGGTTTTTTTTTGGTTTTTTTTTTTTTTTTTTTTTTTTTTTTTTTTTTTTTATTTTGCCTTTTTTTTGCTTTTTTCTTGCTTTTTCAAGGAATACGAGTGTGAGTGATATACAT